AAATTGTGATTTATTAGCAATGATTTCCATTCTGACTTAAGCAGCATTTCCTCAGAGAAGAATGAAAGGTCAGAGATCAGAGTGATGCCCAGTGCAGGATCTTGGGAAGACTGGTTGAATTCCATTCTGAGGGCTTTGGAGGTCATCCCCGGTTCAGTAAAAGCAGAGTGTTTGCATTGTCTTGGTAAGGGGCCTCCCGGGGTGGCTTGGGAGCATTTGTCCTTGTCCTTTTTCTTCCCTTGAGCCAACCTTCTGGGATGTTGGAATTTTCCTTTCCTAGACTTCACGCCTGCCTTCCTGATGGGACAGGTCACAGAGTCCAGGCTCATGGCCTTAATACTTGGGGACTCTGACAAGAATCAGTCTGGAGGAGAAATGTCCAGGCAGTGGGCAGCCAAAAATACCAGCCCTGCCTTCTGTCTGCCCGGCTTAGGAGTCCCTGGGATAAGCCCTCTGCTGCATCCAGTCATGTGGGAAATGTGTTCCCAAACCCTTATTTGGAGACCAGCAACAGGCTGTGGGTGTGGCCTCAGTTTTGAATCCAAACCCCTGCTCTAGCGCCCCCAAAGGCTGATTTTCCAAGTCAGCAACTTCTGGGCTGAGATTTTTCTAGCCTGCTTGAGCAGGTCCTGTGATCCTAGCTCTTATCCTCCGTGGGATACSCACTGAGGAGCCCATGGCACCCCAGGGACAGGGTGCTGCAGGGTGACACTGAGGTTCCCATGCCCAAAACCCACAATGAGGCTCCTAAGGGCTTCACCTTCAGCTTGGGTTAGGTGGCTGTCTCAGTTCTGATTTTGCTTTCTTATTTCCTCTTTATTCTTATGCCGCCAACCTGAGCTGAGATGAGAACAATCCTTTAGGATTAGGGTCAGCAAACTATTTCTGTAAATGAAGTTGAATGAAACTCAGGCACTCCTGTTGGCTTACATATTATCTGTGGTTGCTTTYGTGCTAGGATGGGGGAGTCGAGTTGTGACACAGATCGTGTGGCCCACAGAGCCTGAAGTATTTGCCAAACTCTGCTCTTGGAGGGCAGTGGGGCCACTTTGTCCTTTTCTAGGCATGCATCCAGAARTCAGCAGGGCTACACATCTGAAGTATTTGGAGGCTGTGCCAGGCTGGAATGCCACAGCCACCCAGCATCTTCAGTCCTGTCCCTAAAGGAGGAGCTTCCTAGGGGCCAGAGAGCCCCAAGGGGAGCCAAGTTCCTGGCTACCTCCCAATCCTCACTGCCACCGCACACCTGGGAAGGTGGCAGGTCCCGTGGCCCTAAGGCCTGCACCTGAGAAGCTTGACTTTGATTCCTGTTCAATGTTAACTCATTTGAGAGAACCATGATTTATCTCCAACAGGACATTCGGCTGATTCTTGGGTGTGATGGCCATAGAAGGATGCCAAGATAACTTCTGGGACCTCAGACGGCTAGCCTCACCTCCTCTCTCTACCCTAGTGTCCCTTTCTGAATAATACCTTTGGAGTTGAGGCAAGACCCATCTGCCAGATCTAATTGAAACTTTTGTATGTCTCCCAGAGAGGCTCCTCTGGAGACAAAGSCTTCTTTATCAGGCCCTGTTCCCTCTGGGGATGGGACATTGTTTTCCTTGCAGTTTGGAGCCCGTGTGTTATCCAGATGGCTTTACCTCCCGTCTGGTGCACATGCGTTTCAGAGGCAGTCATTACCTCCCGCCTTGTTTTTATTGCTGTCTTGTTTTGTCTAGACCAAGCCACTGCTGCAAGTATCCTGGCTGTTGTATTCCGGGAAGCACATTCTGTGGGSCTGCCATCCACAGAGGGGAGGGACCAGGAGGGGCTAAGAGGCACCCCCTCATCCCAAAGGAATCTTAGTCTCCAACTTGGCTTCAGGTTTTCCGCTTGCTTCCCTAAGCCTTAAGCAGGTACACTTTTGGCTGTTGGAATGAAGGGATTTCTTGGGTGCTTTCCTGATARGAAATCTGACACCTCTCTCGTGGAGAAGGGGGTCACATTAGACCACTGGCGCTGGGTGCCTCTGGTGCATTTCAAATCTAGAAGCTGATTTGGGGAGAGAAGTTAATGCAAAAGTTGGGTGCTTCCCAGGAGTGGGAAGCTGGCAGTTCTCCCTGGAGCTGCCCTGTGCAGAGTACACACAGCCATGTAACGATGATGACATGATAGTGGTGGTGGTGGTGGTGGTGGTGATGACGATGATGACAGTACCTTCCATTTGTTGGGAGCAGTGTTTCTCAACCCTGGCTGCACATTAGATATCCTTGAGAGTTTAAGGGGAAAAAAAAAATCCCTTTATCAGAACTCTGCCTCCAGCCAGTTACTTTAGAACTCTAATCATGAGGTTATGACATTGTTGTTTTTTTTTTTAATATAACTTCCTCAGAATATTCCAGTGTACAGCTAAGGTTGAGAAGCACTAGTGTGCTTTGTAGCCTGTGATTACGAGTAGCTGCTTATTTCATCCTTGTGACAGTGTAGGGAGTGGGGGTTAGTGTTCCCCTTTACACCCTGGAATTGAGTCCGCAGCAATGCGCCCAGGGCAAAGCTCTTTGAGGCTGAGCCAGGCCTCTTGACTCCAAGTGCTGACTCCCTGCCCCTCCCGTCCAGCATCCTGAGAGAAAGAGCTGCTGTCTGGGACCCTGTCTGTGCTTCTGCACACACTCAGACGTGGCCACCCTCCCATCTCTGTCTCGGGCCAGCCCCTTTTTTCTTCCATGAAGGTCATTTCCCACTTGAATCCTTCCTTGCTACCAGCCTTTCCCCTCCTTCACACACACCTGCTTCTTTCCAGTCGGGTCCTGTTTTAGCCCAGTTATCTTTCACTTCAGAGGCGGTTGTTCTCTGCAATCCCAGAATCCTCTGCACGGGTAACCTTTAGACTCCCAGAACCCCCTGGGTAGCCTTCCTCACAGAATCCCAGAATCCATTGCATTGGGTAGCCTTCCTCACAGAATTCCAGATCCATTGCTCTGAGCAGCTCTCTTCCTGGAGGTCAGGTTTTTCTCTTCACTGAATGCCCTTGGCCTGGGACCCTGGGGCGGTCAAGTTCCACGTCTGGTACTGGGGTCCAGGTGGGTGACAGGCGTCCCCAGCTCTGTCAGCTACAGTGAGGTAATCTAAGTTTTATTTTATTTACACAGCAGGTATCCAGATGTTGCCACCAGGGGCAARGAGCGGAGGTGGTAGCTGCTAGTGRTTCTAATCTTGGTCGGTCYGACTGGGTTAGAACAGAGGATACTGGGGCATCTGTGCTAGGTGCTGATGATAGGAGGAGGTCAGCTGGGGCCACACAGATCTGTGGGACCTCCTTGGGGAGAGGGAAAATCTATATGGACCCTTGGCCTCTGCTTTTTAGGAGGCATCTATCCAATGTGACCTGACACTGTCTGAGGGTGATGGGGCCCGACGTCAGCGCTGACGGCTGGGTTTTGAGGAAGAAAGAAGTCATGCTAAATAAGCTTGTGTGGCATTGTGTCGAAAGTCATGGCCTCTCTGTCAGGCTGAACTGGGTTTGAATCCTGACGCCACTGCTTGTTAGTAGTGTGGCCTAGGATAAATTACTTAATCTCTCTCTGACCAAATTTCTGCTCCTAAAATAGAGATAATGGCTGTTCTTACCTCAGAGCGAGAATTAATGAGATAATCTAGGTGAGACATTAACATGGCGTGGGCCATTTAGTAAGTTAACTATTATTATTGAAGTCATTTCATCCACCATTTTGGTGATGTGAGGGGAAGCTGGTGAACATTTTGGGGGGTGTATGTGGGGTTAGGGGGGTACTGGGGATGGAACCCAGAGCTTCATGTGTGCTAGGCAAGTGTTTTAGCACTAAGTGGCCCCCTGCCCTTTTTAGTTTATTTTGAGACAGGGTCTTGCTGAATTGCCCAGGCTGGTCTCAAACTTATGAGCCTCTTGCCTCAGCCTCCTGAGGGATTACAGGTGTGCACCACCACCCCCGGCTTGGAGATCTTTTTGTGGACAAAGAAATAATCTGAGGATGAGGATTCACCTGGGTTCCATTTTTTTTTTCCCTGAAATGCTGGAAATAGGGCTCTTCCTTCCCACACGCTGTCCAGTAGCTGCCTTGGAGAGAGGTCAAGCCCAGTTCCTGAGGAGCTGGCCCATTTTCATTTTTGTACTCTGTCATCATCTTATATTTTAAGTAGAATGCTTTCTGCAGCATGTTCCAGAGAGTTCTGCAACGTGGTCTAGGTATAAATTAAGAGACAAGGAGAAAACTCTGAGCTGGCAGCACTGAAGTTTACCACAGACAATGTGTGAACCCAGAGAGACAAAGATGTGTCGATAGGTAGAGCTAGACACAGCGTGTCTGCCCCAAGCAAGATGCAGATAGTGGGAAATGAGGAGGGACAAGGACATCAAGAGGAGGTCTGGCTGCAAATGCCAGCCTCATATGAGTTTTAGTCTAAGGGGTTGCAGACATCTTCTCATGGCCCTGGCCTTGCCTGGATGGGGTCATAGCTCAATCCTGAACCTCTTTGGGAAGTGACARATGTAGACAAAGTATGCTTCTTGGTGACCTTTCTTGTTCCAAAGCTGCTGGTATGCACATTTCCAAGTCAAGGTGTCCTGAGCCAGTACCTCAGGGATTAATTGGCGAGTGACTCAGAGGCTTGGGAGGCCTGGGTGTCGCATCCTGCAGATGTGTGCCCTGGAGGGCTGCAGGGTGAGTGTGGGCAGCCAGGCATCACATGGGTCCTAGAAGTCATTTGGGGGTATGACACCATCCTCACTGAGCCCCATGGAGACGGAGTCCTGAGGACCCCAGTCAGCAAGCAGATCCAGTGTGAGGCCCCAGGAATAGTTAGATCATCCTGATTCATGGATGTGTGGGACTTTCCCAGGATTTGTCCAGAGATGCCCACCTGGGGTCCTGACCTTCCCCTCCAAGTATTGACTCTGCTATCTGTGGGCTCTGGCTTCAGTTCAGCTTACTCTGTTCTGCTCAGTGTCTCTTGATTCAATCATGCCTTTCTCCTCATTTCAGAAGTTCCGGGTAGATATGCCTGGCTCAGGCAGTGCCTTCATCCCCACCATCAACGCCATCACCACCAGCCAGGACCTGCAGTGGATGGTGCAGCCCACAGTGATCACCTCCATGTCCAGCCCCTACCAGCGCTCCCACCCCTACAGCCCGCTGCCTGGCCTAGGCTCTGTCCCCGCGCACATGGCCCTCCCAAGACCTGGCGTGATCAAGACCATTGGCACCACCGTGGGCCGCAGGAGGAGAGATGAGCAGGTACAACTCAGGACAGCAGAAAGGGGCCACGTTGGTGGCTCTGGGGGCCTCCTAAGCACAGAATGCTTTTCTGCAGACTGGTGCAGAGCAGAGTGAATGTTCTAGAAGCACAGGGGAGACAAGGGAGCTGGGCAACGAGCTAGGCATCAGAAGCAGAGCTGGAGACCCGAGACGGGTCTGTCCCTGTCATCTCGCCCACGTCCCTCAGATTCTGAGTCTGTTTCCTTAGCTGCCAAATGGGAATAATGGTTCCTGCCAGCCAGGGCTTGTTGGTGCCTGAGGGAGATCATACAGGGGAAAGCCTGTCATTGATGTAACCAAAGAAGGGGAACTGTCATGACCTGAGCCTTGACAGAGGGCCACAGGATAAACACCACTGAACCCTGGCTGTGCTGGATTCACCATTCGCCCCCTCCCTGTGTCAGGTGCAGGCCAGGCACCCAGCTGTCCTAAAGAGCCCCACTCAGGGCTGGTACCGCCACATGTTTTCATTCCTCTTCAGTGGCCCAGGCCTTTGACTTAAAGCAGGGGTCCATTTCCAGGGCCTGGAGTGTACATTCTGGCAGTACAGTGACTCTGGGGCCTCAGGAATCTGTTCAGCTGCTTTAACTGATGGGACAGGGGAGGTCAGACATAGATTTTTAATTTTTTCCTCAAGGGTCTCGAGAGATCTATTTTGGCTGGAGAGAAGTCAGAAAATATGGGGCCTCTGCTTTTTAGGAGGCATCTACCCAATGTTCTAAAGGCCCACCACCTGCATTGACAGTGAGCCAGGGCAGTGCTGAATTCCCTCATTTCTGAAGAGAAATGAGAATCATGTGTAATACCCCAAAGAGGGAACTTAGGCCTTCAGACAGCCCCATCTGCCCGCTTCACAGCTGATACGTCCTAGGCCTGGACCCACTTGCTTATTCCCACTGGGCAGTTGAGAGAGGAAGCCTGGACTGGTGCTAAACCTGGACTTGCTGTGCAGTGCTTCTCCTGCAAGGCCAGGCCACTGTGAGCCCAGCAGAGGCACAATACATTAGCAGTAGAGTCCCCTTTTCAAATGAAATATGAACCTGGAGAAGTATTCCTGGAATACTGTGGCACAGCATTGGAAACCCTCACCATTCCAACCCCCATCCAGTTCCACTGTGGCATCCCCAGGGAGGATATGTTAGTACAAGGCCTTTAAATATGGTTCCCAGTGGATACTGATGGATCTAGGGCCCGTAGTCCTCAGGATACATAGACTTACAGGGCTTACCACTCCAAGGAGCTAGAAGCTTCCTGAGGACACTTGCTCCTCCCAGGACAAAGCTGGGCCTGTATCTAGAATCTGTTGAAAGTAGAGCCACAATTCAGGGTCCTATGGGGGGAGATATGAATAATAGATGCTATAATAGCACTCACAGTTGCAGGTTGGGCCTCTGCTGCTGGCGTAGGAGGCGGTTGTAAATATTGCAGTAGTGATCATGTGTCCTTCCCACAGGGAGTTCAAAGTGCAAAGCTTTAGAGTTACTGATGAGCCAGATTCTCTCAGGATGTAAGTGACACCAAATGAGAGCCAGGCTTGTAAGGAGCTCTCCTGGGCTAGAAGTTCAACCAAGCAAGATGTGCCCAGCGCTCTCCATTCTCTGCTGGGCCTACCTCATAGCAACTTTAGAAGTTTGTATCCAGAAGGCACTTTGGAGACCATCTTTTCTTATTTTCCCTCTGTACCCATCTTATAGATAGACCAGTGGAGGCCCAGAGAGAAGGGCCCTGTTCAGCCACACAATGAGTTAGTAGCAGATCTAACTAGCAGGGACTGGAATCCACCACTTTGACCTTCGCCCTGTGTTTTTCCCACCACACCACCTAGGCGTGCCCTGAGACAATCTGTCTGGAGAATTTCCTTCCTTTTTTGAGAGGGAGGGAGAGAGCCAGGAGCATTTATTCCCCCTTCAATTAGGACTTGAAACAGTCTTGTTCCAGCCTTGGGGAAGCTGGGAAGGGCAACCTAGCACCTTGGCTTTTAGGCTCCCAGCCCCAGGGTCTTTCTCCGAGGCTTAAGTTTGCCTGCCCCAGCCTCCCCCTGCGGAGGGCCTGCTACCTGGAGCCTCATAGCCCTCTTCCAGGGCTGGTTCTGGAGGCTCCCTCGGAGCCCAGAGGCAGTGACTGAGGAGCTGTGGAGGAGAGGGTGTGTGTGGCTTGTGGGTGAGTCCTGGAGCTGCTGACACACTCAAGCTGTGGCCAAGTTGATCTCACCACCCCTGAACACTTCCTATGTTGACAACTCCTGCTAGTCGTCCCTTACCTCCCAGACAGGGGAGAGGTTTCTGAGGCCAAAGGTTAACAAGGGGGAGGGAAGTGTTGAAGTGGATCCAGGCCAGCCCTTCCTTTTTACTCCTCCACCTTAGTAAGGGCTCTGGAGGGAGCATGTTGGGCCTTCAGGGCGATCCTGGTGGGAAGCTCCAAACCCAAGACAACAAGGCCTTGGCTCTCTTGGTAACCACCGCTGTTGGGCTCAGGTGGAGGCAGTTTTAAGGGTAGCCAGTGTTTGGAGGCCTTGGCCAAATGGACTTGTGACCTCCACCAGGCCTTGGGATCACCTCTGGGTAGATGGGCATGGGATAGTCCTCGTGGATACTGTGCCCTGCTTTGCTGTTCAGGACATCACAGCAGTAGACTTCCAGGTGGCCTGATCTGGGACTAGCCAGGCCTGGGGGGGTGACCAACATTTGAGCCACATTCTTCCACAGGGAAGCTTCTCTTTCCTTCCCTCAGAGTGCCTTCAGCTTCTTCTCCACATGTCCCTTGAGAGCAGGACTCATATTCCCCTTGATATCTCCTAAGCTCCCTGTACAGCACTGGACGTGTGGTACATGTGCGTCAGTGTCTGACACCTGAATGGGACATGGGAAGCGCTTTCCTTTGCCTTGCTTCTGCTTTGGCCCACAGCCATCTCCTTGGTCCCCTTTGCCTGAGAGGAGGATGGGGTCATGGCTTTGAAGGGCCCTCACCTGCCGAGCAGAGCAGGCTTCTTGTCCTCTAGTGTGAGTACTGAGTTTCACGGCAAGGAGCTAGGTGCTGAGTTCTTTGCAGGGAGATCTTCTGGTTCACAGAGAAGTCCCAAGCTCCTAGAACTGGGTCTATTGGCGGAAAAGGTGGGCAGCAGGACTGAACGAACTTTCCGTCCAGCCCAATGCCGTGCCAAGCTTCCTGGGGAAGCTGTGAGCGGCTGGCACTCTAGGTCTGGCAGCAGAAGTCAGAAGTGGAGTGGTACCTGTGTCCTCCCACTGGCAACAGAACATTTCCCTCTGGGCGGGTCTTGCCTGTGTGGGGACTCTGGGCCCAGCTACCTAACCAAATGGGGATAATGAGGCTGGCAGAGCAGGCAGGGTAATGGGGAGGAGTAATTAGCCCAGGTTTGGAAGGAGCTGCCTGAGTGGGTGGGGCTGGGGCTGGCTAGCTGGAGGGGTTCCTCTTGGCCTGGGCTATGCTCCAATCCGCTGACAGGACACATGTAGCCATCGTGCAGGGGCCAGCGAGTCCCAAACCCACTTCACCCTGCTCTCCCTCTAAACATCAGATGTCACTTTTCAGGGCAGATTCCAGGGCAACAGGTGTCTCTCAGGCAGCCAGGCCGCAGTGTTCTCTGCCCACCACACTCCTCTGGCCCTGCCTTCTCCCCTCCCAGGCCCAGAGGGCCGTTTTCTTAAAATACAGTTTTTAAAAATGCTGTGAACTACTCACCCCATTCTAATCATGATTCTGGGCTTCGGCCTCTAGCTGTCTCCTGAGGAGGAGGAGAAGCGTCGGATCCGGAGGGAGAGGAACAAACTGGCCGCTGCCAAGTGCCGGAACCGCCGCCGGGAGCTGACGGAGAAGCTGCAGGCGGTAAGGACCTCTGTGCGCACGAGGGGCATTCTGGGTGGCTGGGTGAGGGCCCAGGGCTCAGGCCCTCCGCGCCCTCCCCTTGCTCACCAGTGCCCTAGGGACGAGTCAGTGGAGCTAGAGCACCCTTCCTTTGGGCACATGGGTCGACGTGTAGCTGAATGAAAAAGTGACAGAAGGAGAAACTGGTCTTCTCCACCTGCCTGGTCCTGGGGAGAAGAACTGGACAGCCTTCTTGGGCCAGCACTTTTTTTCTCTCCCTGTCTCAGAGCTCTCTCTCTGCTCTCTTGGCCCAGCTCCTGGGTGAGGGTTGGCAGGGATGTTGGTATTGCTAGTCCACAGGAGCCCGGGCAGATCCAGACCTGCCCCTCCAGGGCTACTTCCCAGCTAGAGGCCGAAGACAGCCCCACTGGGCTGGCCTAACCTGGCTTAAGCACTATGGTTTGAGCTGGGTCAATGTCAGGGGGAATCCTGATGGAGAGAGGTCACAGGCCAGCCGAGTTGCACTTTTTTGGGGTTTTCTCATATCCCCATTGGGCAGGAGGCTTTCTCACCTTTATCACAAGCCTAGAGCCCTGGCCTTGGCACCTGAGTCTGCCCTTGTGAATCACTCTCCATGCTCCCTAATTGCCTGGACCTGGGGGCCCATGGTCCTGCAGAGTCTGGCCCCACAGCAAAGGCTGTGTGCCACGTGGAGGAAGCCCCAAGCCAGGGCTGACTCCTGGGTGGGATGTCTGCAAAGTGAGGAGATGAGAGAGACTCCGTCAGTGGTCCTCACAGTGACTAGCTAGGACGGGGCTTTGGCAAGGCTGATTTTGTCCTCCTGGATGATTTTGTCCTCCTGGATACTGTCTATCTGCTCAAGCCTCCCTTTGGCCGTCCTGCAGCCTTTGACCTTGGGCATCAACTGTGTGCTGTGTGAATTCTGTGGTAGCTGCAGTAGTGTCCCCAGGAGGTGTTAGAGCCAGGGAGAGTGGACCTGTGAGTGCCCAGCCCATCATGGGAGACTCCTTGAGCAGGGCCCTCCCCATCGCCAGCCTTTTTCTGGTCTGACACTTCAGGGAGCTATGCCCTGTGTGTCTACCTGAGGCGTTCCTCGCCACCACCCCAGAATAGATCCTCCCCTCTTCCCAGAAACCTCACACCTGCTCCCCCGCCCCCTGACCCAGCCGCCCAGGCCCTGAGCCACATCCTCCACAGGAAGCCTTTCATAAGCTCATGACGTTCGTCAGACCCTTGAGACAGATGGAAACTTTTTTTCACTGCAGAACGTGCCGCTCTCTGTTTAATGAAGCTCTTGCCCGCGTCTCCTTGTTCATGAACGGGAATCTGTGTTAGGGACAAAGTGGGGAGGAGGCTGGTGACACACACCTCTCCCCTCCCTCTGTTGCGCTTCCACGTGCATTTGCTCCCTTCTGCTTCTCTGGCTTTAGGTGAAAGAAGGGGGCTGTCACCCAGAAATCCTTGCAGGATGGTCTTGGTGTCCTCACAGGCTCACGCAGGTCTCAGGTGCCCCTTCCATTGAGCATGTGGCTGAACTGAGTGTTCTCTGCTGTTCCGACTGTCCTGAGACAGAGGCTTCAGATACTGGAGCAAAAAAGGGGCGGTCCCACAGGGATTGGCTGAGCACTTATCCAAGCCAGACACTGTCCTGCTGCTGGAGAAGGCCGTCCCCCGTCTCCTGGGCTTCAGGTTCAGTTTCCCTGCATCCACAAGTGGGCTGGCAGGAAGCTGAGGAGGAGGAGCCAAAGGGGTAGGGCTCCATCCTGTGCTGCTTTCTCCATGGAAATCTCGCTTACCCCTTGAAGGGACCCAGGGACAGTCCTGGCACCAAAGCAGTAGAATAGAGTAGAATGTATCCCACGTGAGATGCATTGAGATTCAGATCTGGGCTACTCAATGGTTAGCTCTGTGACTCTGGGCATGTTATTAAGCCTCTTCAGATCTCAGTTTCCTCATCTGCAAATGGGTTGATGATAACATCTGCTTTCAAAAACTTTTGGAGAATTGAATGAAATAACCTATGAAATGCTTAATACAGTGCCTGGCACAATGTAAGTGTTCAGTCATGAGAGCTGCAATTGCTACTTCATTTCTCCTTCAAGCCAGCTTTCCTTCTGTGGAAATAAAGGAAATCAGGAGCCACCATGTGACTCAGAACCAGTAAGGTCTGTGGCCCGGTGTGTAGCCTGGCTGCTCTCGTACAGGAGGTAATCTGAGGACATTGCTGGTTCTCCCTTTCTTGTCTGGCTTAGAACTGTCCCCTAGTGGGTCCTTGGCAGGTTGTTGTTCCTCACACCCCCTGCTTTCCCCTGCAGGAGACAGAGGAGCTGGAGGAGGAGAAGTCAGGCCTGCAGAAGGAGATCGCTGAGCTACAGAAGGAAAAGGAGAAGCTGGAGTTCATGTTGGTGGCCCACGGCCCTGTGTGCAAGATCAGCCCTGAGGAGCGCCGATCGCCTCCAGCCCCCGGGCTGCAGCCCATGCGCAGTGGGGGCAGTGCGGTGGGCGCTGTGGTAGTGAAACAGGAGCCCTTAGAAGAGGACAGCCCCTCGTCCTCCTCAGCAGGGCTGGACAAGGCCCAGCGCTCCGTCATCAAGCCCATCAGCATCGCCGGGGGCTTCTATGGGGAGGAGCCTCTGCACACCCCCATCGTGGTGACCTCCACGCCTGCCATCACTCCGGGCACCTCGAACCTCGTCTTCACCTACCCCAGTGTCCTGGAGCAGGAGTCGCCCGCGTCACCTTCCGAGTCCTGCTCCAAGGCTCACCGCAGAAGCAGTAGCAGCGGGGACCAGTCGTCAGACTCCTTGAACTCCCCCACTCTGCTGGCTCTGTAACCCTGTGCTCTCCTCCCCAGCTCTGGAGGGGTCCTCGGCACTGCCTCCTCCCAGGGACCAGCACCTTCAAGAGCTCCAGAGCCCTGAGGGCCAGAGGAAGCCCTGCTTCCGGGCTCTGGGGGACCCAGGTGGGACTTGGCAGTGAGGCTTTAGAAGACTCGGGTCGATCCTTGTAAGCCATGGGACCTCCTCCTTTGCTCGTCTTGCAGAGAATTCTCCTCCTGGAAAGCCAAGGAGAGCTTGGTTTGGCAGACAGGACCTGTCTCTGGCTTCTGAAGAGCCTGGAGCTTCCCAGATGGTCCCGCCCCTTTGTTACCTGTTGTCTCTGGAGCGATGGTGTCCTCCCCACCCCACCAAGCATGCTCAGTGCCTTTTGGTTCACCTTCCCTCGACGTGCCCCCTCCCTCCCACAGTGTCAGTCTCACTCCCTCTTGGTTTTTATCAAATTTGCCATGACATTTCATCCGGGTAGTCTGGATATTAAAGCTCTTCATTTCTGGAGGCGTGGCAGCAGGTGACTCTTCCACGGGGGTGACTTGTCCAGAAGGGGACAAAGTGCAATACAGAACCTTCCCTCCAGGGGTACTCCCCAGTGCACCACTGCCTCCAGATGCTCTCAAGCAGGGGCCAACCTCACTGGGAGTCTTGAAAGACCTTCCTCTGCACCCTCGGAGGTGGCTTGGGATGACCGGCCTGACCAGAAGAGGGGGTGTGAGACAGCCAGGGCACCGGGGGGGGGGGGGGGTTTGCCAAACACCTAATTATCAGGCAAGGAGTAGTGCCGACAAAGCCACCTGGGTGTCCTAGCCAGCTTCCCTTCGCCTGGTGTCTTGAGCAGGGCGTCTCCTGTAATTACTGCCTCACCATTCTGCCCCTGGACCCTTCTCTCCAGACCAGGGAGGCGTCCCTCCCAGGAACCACACATCACTCCAAGGCCCTGCTGGGCTACACCCTTCCCTGGCTCTTGGGGTGACGCCACCCACGGAGATTTAATGAGCGTGGGCCTGGACCCTCCCCAAGGGAGGCTCCTCTCCAAGCCTCAAAGGATGGAAGAGCCAGGCAGGAAGGAGGAAGGCGGTCCCTGGGGGTGGTGTCTGCAACAGCAGCAGCTGCCACTGCCCCAGCGCCCAGCCTTCCCTGCTGTGGCCCTGCAGCATAGGCCCTGTCTGCCCTCTGTGGTCATCTGCCACCTGGTGGCTCCAGTGCTTTCTCTTTCATGCTCCCCCTGCCCCATCCCAGGGTGCTCTTCTGGCCCAGTTGACAAGCTGTGAGCAGCTGGCCCATGAGCTTTTGCTTGGGGCTTGTGCGCCATTTCTGGTTGTTGAATCTTTCCAGCTGCTGAAATTGGAGCTAGGATGTGTTGCTTTCCACCACAGGAGAGCTGCCCCCTCCCACGGGTCCCCTGGCCTCCACCCCCTCAGCTTTTTCTCCCCAGAGCATGTTGACACATGTCCCTGGGAAGCGGCTTCTGGTCAGAACTGGCCTCTGTGGAGCTGGTACTCTGAGGGAGTCTCACTGTTGGTGACTCAGCTCCAGAGAGATCAGTGTCCATCCATTCAAAACGATGTCAATGCTACTTAAATCCAGTGGCAGTTACATTTCTGAGTCCGACTCTGGAGAGAGCAGGAACAGCTTACAGACCTGTTCCTATTATACCTGAGGTCACATGTGCTGGCCATTATTTAATTCCACCCCCAACTCCCCCTTGATGCACTAGACACGCAGGATGGAAGAGACTTAGGCTGAAGATATGCGGCCCAGCAGGACCAGAAGGAATGTACGCAGGGGTCAGCCACAGAGAGAGGAGATGAAAAGAAAAGGATTTTGTTCTAAACACTTTAAACGTGTTCTTTCCCATGTTCCCTGGCAGTGACGCTGCGCTCTGGTTTCCTAGGGTCTTTGGGAAAGTGCTTCTAAGAAGAAAGGGCAGCTGGGTTTCTGGTCTTAGATTAATTAATCAAAGAAGGAGGGCTAGCAGGCGATGGCCGAGGAAGCTGGGTGCTCTCAGCTTGGAAAGGCTTCATCATCTCAACTGGTCTTGGGAGCCAAGTGGGAGCTGTTTGTGTCTTTGTGCATATAGATATTTCTTAAATGGAGCTGCTTTTTGGTCTTTTATTTCTAAAATCCCCCTTTGGCCCCAGTCTGTATAGCATGGACCCCAACACCGGTCATGGTCTGTGACTTGGAGCCACGCTGGACGTTCCTGAGCCAGAGTTTGGCTTCTGATTTCAAGCTCTGCTGGCATCAGAACCTGCGGGAGGCACGGCCCCAGGGACTTCAGAAGCCTATGAGGTGTGACCTTCACGACTTTCTTGCTTTGTCTTTGGAGGTTGTTTGGCTTCCCCAAAGCCAGAGGTCTTTTGGGGAAGGCTGAACATTCACTCCTGAGTCATGAGCCTGTCCTAGGTCACTGCCTTCTGGCTTGCTCTCCAGGTTCACTCCTGCCCGCCACATACACTCACACGCACTTGCTCTGGAACCACCAGACACCCAGCCTTTGCTCCCTCCATGGCTCCAAACAAGGGGACAGCTGCAGCGGAGATGCCTTTGTGCTCAGGAGAGGAACTGCTGGGCCTTCCCTTGTCTCCAGCCAGGAGGCAGCTGGTGTGGACCTGGGTGGGTCTGCAGGTGACTGGGATGGCATGTGAAGACACCCCTTGATGGGTCAGTATGAAACACACAGTCCTTGTGGCTGCCTGGTTGGCCTTTCTGGGAATGGTCCTGCCCCTGGCTGGGTTGATGGGGACAGTTGCTGACCTAGGAAAGAGGAGGTGGTAGGTGAAGCTTAGGGAATTGCTGGAGCCAACTCCACGCTGAGAAGTCCCTGGGGAGGTTTTTCAGAATGAGTGGAACGTTCTGTGTGGGAGGCCAGGTGGGCCCCTGAGGACAGTCGCACAGGCATCTCGGAGCTGAGAGCGATCAGAGCTGGCTGCTGCTTCTCTCTCCAGCTTTGGGGAGAAGAGTCTCCCTCTGCTCCTGGTGGACTCCAGTGAAAGTGGGAGACGAACTCTGGAGCATTGGGCAGTTTTCTCCCGACCCACAATGCACCTTGCTATCTCGCCATGTAACTTCCTTCCCCGATCAGACATCCGCAGGCCCCTTTAGGGACAGAAAGAATAAATACCTATGTGCCAGGCACTGTTAGGCACTTTTCTATTTATCCTCTTTGAAACGAGGGCAACCCAAATAAAGGGCCCCCAAATGATGGCTAAAAAGAAACAGTTGGAGGTGAGAAGTTTCCAAAGAACGAGTAAGATCGGCTTCAGTCTGGTGTTTGTTCTCAAAGACCCACCCCCCAGAGCATCTGCCCACCTGCAGACCCTCCTTCTCCTTGGCCTGTGCTCATCTGCACCCCTCAGATGTCTGGAGGGGTAACCCAAGTCCCTACAGAGTTGTGGGCCCATAGAATATGTGCTGTGCATAGCTTTCTTTTTGAAACTTAGGTCAAGGGGTCTTACTGCATTCTGCTTATTGATTCTTCTTGGCATTCATCTTAAAAGCCAGCATCTCACTATTTATTGACAGGTTGTGGAGTGCGTGTGTGTGAGAGAGAGAGAGAGAGTGTTTGTGTGTGTGTGTGTGTGTGTGTATGCACGCATGTGTGCGTACACATTTCCAGGAGTGCCTGAGATCTCCTGCAGCTCTTTAGAAGGAAACCCATCACCCCACTACTAATTTGGCATCTTCTTGTGCTTCTAGTGTCTTGGCCATGCATCAACAAAGCGTTTTAATAGCTGACGACATGTTCCGGAGGGGCTGAGTCAAATTTTGACAGGGGTGGGGACATGGAAAGGGAGGGGGGAGAAGAAATTGACACTTATTTTATTATTTATTTTAAATGTTTACATCTTCTTTGTGTTGTACTAAGCCTGAATAGAAACGGATAGCATTAAAATACTCAATTCCTCTCCTCTCTCTCTCTCTCTCCTTTTTTTTTTTAAACTTAGGATAATGATGCTTTTTTTGTTTCTAAAGTGATTTGTGACTTGTGCTGTATAAACTGTATAAAAAGGTTCTGTTTTTAAAGATGGATTGTCATTCCTCTGGGACAGTGGCTGCCAAGAAATCTATATTGTAAGAGAACACAATGATAGATCCAGCCCTGTCCCTCAAAATTACTTTCTCTGTATTATTAAAAACCTATTCCATTTATTTTACTTTGTGGTTACTTGATTTTGAGGAGAAAAATATTCGACTGTGTATAAAGAGTAGGTATCAGGGTGTCTTTTTTTTTTTTTTGCAGTGGGAGATGTATATATAGTATTTTGGTATTTAGTGGAAACTCATGAGCTCTGTGCATCTGTATTTGAGATATGTCAATGAGGTGGAGTGAAGTCTGCTACTAGACCCTGGAGGCAAACAAGTTGTACAAGGTTTTTGTCACTCTATGGGGGAACTTAATGACCTTTCTGGATATCTTTTTCTGTTTTTTCAGTAATGGTGAAATGGTCCCCATTGGAGGATCTCGTACATTGACCTCTCTAGGCAAGACCCTGAACTCAAAAATCTCTGTATAGTTTTGAAAATTGAGGAGTATCTGTGCTCTGAAGCATCTCTGGTGTGTTCGTTGCTGTTGTTATTTTGTCCTGTTGTTTTACTGTATGTAACACAAGCCTACAGTATTTGCACTAAAGAAAGCTTGTTAGAAAAAGCTTGCTGCTATGGAAGAAAGAACATATTACAACTTTTTTTTCCCTTGCGGTTATTTTTTGTTGTTAGCTTTTCCACTTTCCGTTGAGTAGCATTTTGTAGAATAAAATGAATTAAGATTGAAGAGCCTGTGATGGTTGGTTTATTCCATCTTTCCCCCCATCTCTTCCTGTGGCTTCTGTTTTTCTTCTGTTCCTCTCTCACTCTGGCCCTGGCGGGCAAGGGTGGTCTCTCTGCTGGGGATGGGGCTCACCTTGAACCTCTTTTTTGCAAAACTGAGAGGTGGGTGGGCTGCTGAGAGGGCATGAGAGCCCCCTGCCATCCCTTCTCATTCTTCCCCTTTTGACCCTCTCCCAGTCCCTCCCTACCCTGTGGGGGCCCCATTCTCAGCCAGCTGCCAAGTGTGAGCCAATAAAAGTTTCAGGGTATTTTGTTGGAACAGGTTGACTCTGGAAACCCAGAAATCTTCAAAGGACAAATTAAATGCATGCCAAAGTTGTCATGGTGGTCAGATGGGATCCAGCCGCAGGAAAGACTGAAAATAACCGAAGCATGCAAATATGTGGTATGGATGCAGCTCTGGACTTTGTTTTTGAAAAGTCACAAGTTGTCAGGTGCCCCATTGTCCTGTCGACCAGGAAACCTGGAGTGACTGAGCAATATCTGTTCTGGGGGGCTCTTTCCTCACAGTGTAAATGGCAGGGAGACAAAACTGTCATCACTTAGTGCCCAGAGCTCATGCAGCTGGCTGAGAATTAGCCCTAGAAACCCACGCTGGCTTCAGTGTGCTGTAGACAAGCTCAGAGTGCAGGCCTCATTCTCTGGAAGACTGAAAGCCAGAGGGTCCCTGAAACCGAGGCCTGTCCCCACTACTTTTCGGCTGTTGAGGTTTGAAGAAAGCCATTGAAACCTCTCAGTTTCTTCATCTGTGAAGGAGGGGTCAATGATAGTATCATAATAGCACCCACTTAGGGATAACAATATCCCCTCCCTCGTCTTTCCAGTGAGCCGGTGGTGTGGGGGAACAGGACTGCTCAGAAGTTGCAGTACCAGGCCTCACTGTGACCGCTTCTGCCTGGACAGACAAGGGAACACAGAGTCCAGGGGGTTTCAGTAGTACCTGTAATTTCCTGAGCAACTGATGTGTTTTCTTGGGGCAACTGTCAAAGAGGCAGATGCTCAGAGTGTTGACATCTGCTTCTCCAGGCTGTGGTGGTGATGCTGTCCCCGGAGAGGCTCCTGCTCACATTTCTGTGCTTACATTTCTGTGATCACATCTGGGCTCTTCCATACATTTTTCATCTTCCAGCAATGCCTCAGAATCTACTTGGCTTGCTTGAATTTGCAACTCTTCACCCACATGGCAATTAGAGCAGCTGATGATTGCCAGGTACTTATTAAATGGAATCTAAGTTTCTTTGTGCAGCTGCAAATGCCTTAAAAACATCTGGACAGTTGATCAATTTTCTTTTTAATGGGGAGGGGTTCTGGGGATTGAACTCAGGGGCACTCAATCAGTGAGCCACATCCCCAGCCCTATTTTGTATTTTATTTAGAGACAGGGTTTCACTGAGTTGCTTAGTGCCTCCTTTTGCTGAGGCTGGTATTGAACTCATGATCCTCCTGCCTCAGCCTCCTGAGTCTCTGGGATTACAGGAAGAGCCACTGTGCCCAGCTTGATCAATCCTTTATGGAAAAAAAAAATTATAAGGGGTGACCTCCACTGGGTTCTCAGGCCTCCGAGTTGTCTGCTTGGGAAATTTTGCAGTCACCTGTAAGTCTAGGCTGAATTGGTTCAAACCAGTTCTGTGACCTGGGTTGATGATAAACTCTTGATTCCATTTCCTATAAATACAGACTTTCAAAGATTAAGCAGATGATCAGTGCAGTGGTAAACACGTGTAATCTCAGTGACTTGGGAAGCTGAGGCAGGAAGATGGAACGTTTAAGACCAACCTCAGCAACTTAGTGAGACCCTGTCAAAATAAAAAGGGCTGGGGATGTGGCTCTGTGGTTAAGCATCCCTGGGTTCAATCCCCAGTACTAAAAAAAAAAGTGGGGTTCTGTTTTTTCAGGAAAGATATCTTGGTGGAGATTCCTGGGACAATTCCCTTTTCTAGTACAAGAATTCCCTAACTGATCACAACTCTGTCCCTAGACTTCCTTTGTTCATCAAACCCACCACTGTGTGAGAGAAAATTAATTTCTTCTGGAGTTATTTTCCAACACCTGAGCAGCAAGGCCATTTATGTGAAGGTATATGTCAATGTCTGAGGGCTAAAATCAGGAGGAAACAAGTCTTTAAAACCCATATACCTTGATGCCTGATGCAACTTGATTATGGTACAGCCATTGGGCCCTAGGCTCCAGGGCCATGTTTGAAATGAAGGATGTGATTTTCCTTTGGCCCTGTGTTTAAAGGATGGATAGGATACTTGTCCATAGGCAGCCCAGCCCTGCTGGCCACAGAGCCCCCACCAGGCCCCACGTGGAAGGCCAGAGCGTGGAGGGGGGCCAGTGGCCTCTGGGATGTGCACCTGAGCTGGGGCATTCCCTTGGTGACAGAGGTTCTGTTCCTTCCTGATGAGACAACAGAAGATGGCTTCCCAAGACACTGTGAGCTGTTGGGACTAGTCCACTCGGCCTTCTTTATGATCAGGCCTGTCTGGAGTGGAGAGAAGCTCTACTGGGACTCTGCCCGTTGGGCAGGAGCCTCCTCCCTCTTCTCCAAGAGGCCCCCAGAGGACAGACGCAAAACCTGTTACACTCTGCGAGTTGTCTCTGGAAAGTTCCACTCACTTAAAGAAAGAAAAAAAATTGCTTTAGGCTCCACCTCTGAACTAAATCAGTCAAACTAAACACCTTAGCTAGTACTTACATTAGCCAAGACAGGGAACAAGCAAAAATACAGATATACAGTGATGGTGGTTGGTAATGGTATTCAGTCGAGTGGCTCTGAGGACACTGGGACATGGCCCTGAATGTACAGAGGGACCCCACTCCTTCCCCAAGGGCCAGGTGCAGGCCATGGTGGGAACTGAGATCTGGTGTTCTTCCGGAACACAAGACTGCCTAGTCCCTTACAACACTTAGGACATAATTTGGCATTATTTAAGTGATATGTATTTTTTTATTTAAGTGATATGTATTTTTTTTATTTAAGTGATATGTATTTTTTTAACTGAGGTTCAGTTCAACATAAAATGAGCCACTTAAAAACAAATAATTCCACATCATTCAGTTCCTTCATAGTATTGTGCAACCACCACGATCTAGTTTCAAAACATTTTCATCACCATGAAAGGAAACCCCGTACTGTGAAGTGTGTGCTCCCGTCATGCCTTTCCCTGGTCACCTGACAACCACCCATCTGCTTTCTGTCACTATGGATTTAAGTTGGGGTGGTATTTTTGGAGAATCCCAATGATTCTACTTTCTAAACAAATAAACAAACAAAGTCATGAAATATTCGCATTGAAAATAAACTAATTGCTATTCGTCATGCGGTTCCCTCTTTTCCTAACTTTTCATATGCCTTCACAGACGTGGTCT